TTACTGCAACCTCTGCCTCCCAGGCTTAAGTGATCCTCTCAGCCTCCTGAGTAGCTGAGACCACAGGTGTGCACCACCATACCTGGCTAACTTTTTGTATTTTTGGTAGAGATGGGGTTTTGCCATGTTGCCCAGGCTGGTCTCACACTCCTGAACGCCAGCAATCTGTCCACTTTGGCCTCCCAAAGCCACTGGGATTACAGGTGTGAGCCACCATGCCCAGCCTGATGATTAATTTCATGTGTCAACTTGACTGGGCTAAGAGATGCCCAGAGAGCTGGTAATATTATTTCTGTGTGTCTGTGAAGGTGGTTCCAGAAGAGATTAGCATTGGAATCAGTATACTAAGTAAAGAAGATTGCCTTAACAGTGTTGGTGAGTATCATCCAATTTGTTGAGGGTCTGAATAGAAAAACATGTGGAGGAGAGTGAAGTTTCTCTCTGCTTAAGCTGGGACATTCATCTTCTCTGTTCTTGAACATCAGCACTCCTGGCTTTTGGGACTCTGGACTCAGACTAGGGCTCATACCACCAACTGTCCTGGTTTTCCAGCTTGCAGATGGCAGATCGCAGGGCCCCTCAGCCTTCATAATCACATGAGCCAATTCCTATAATAAATAAATAAATGTATATCCTATGGATTCTGTTTCTCTAGAGAACCCATGCACACCTTAGCTGTTCAAGTTACCCCTGAGTTGAGGCTCCAATCATTACGTAGTAAAGGCAAACTATTCTCATTATACCATGTAGAAATTCCTGATCCATGTAATCAATGAGCATACTAAAATGGTTATTTTATGCCACTAAGTTTGCAATGGTTTGTTATGCAGCAACTGATTACCAGGAAAAATATCTTGAGATACAGTGATATGGATACAGTATGCAACTGCAGTCCCAGAAAGAGAGTGGGGAATGGGGCAGAAACAATATTTGAACAAATAAATGGGTGAGAAATTTCTAAACCTCATGAAAGAGATCAAGATATAGACTTAAATGTCCCTATCTACCCACAGAATAAAAAGAAGAGCAAACCTAAGCATATCATACTAAAACTACTAGAAACTAAATCTAAAGAGAAAATGTTTTAGAGGACTACCAGAGAAAAAAGACAAATTCTCTTTAAAGAAGCAAAAAAATAAAAATAATAATTTCTGACGTCTCAATAGATTATGGAAGTAAAAAAAAAATCCAATGTAATTATATATTCAAAGTACTGAAAGAAAGAAAAAACAACTGCCAATAATGAATTCTATTTTTAGCATAACAAAAGCTGTTGGTGTCTTGTAACACATTCCTTCATTCTCCTTCTAATTTTGGCTTCATTTTTAGTCTATAGATTAGTAATCATAATCACATGTACAAAATCCCTTAAAAATTTTTTTTTAGAGACAGAGTCTCTCTATGTTGCCCAGGCTGGCAAACTTCAGCGGAAATGCAGTGGTGCAATCTTGGCTCCCTGCAACCTCCACCTCCCAGGCACAAGTGATTCTCGTGCCTTAGCCTCCTGAGTATCTGCAATTAGAGGTGCCTGCCACCACGCCCAGCTAATTATTGTATTTTTAGTAGAGACGAGGTTTCTCCATGTTGGCAAGGCTGGTCTCGAACTCCTTGCCTCAAGTTATCCACCTGCTTTGGCCTCCCACAGTGCTGAGATTACAGGCATGAGCCACCACACCCGGCTTAAATAATCTCATTTATTTTTTTAATCTCTCTTTGTTCTCTGTTCATTAATTTTTGTGTGCACTTACTACATATTTTACAAATTTTTGTGAAATTAAAATAAAGTGAACCTATCATACTTTTTTTGGCTTGGACTGGGAATCTTTGAGGTTTAACATTTGCTTATTTAAGGGTTTTTGGATAAAAGCTATTAACTGTAATGTGGTCAGATTTATTGGTCTTTTCTGAGTTTGCGCTTTTTGTGTCATATTTTAAAAATCCTTTTCTACTCCAAGGTCTATAAGATATTCACCTATATTTCCTAATAAATTAAAGCCTTATTATTGACTCATTTAAGGTTTTTTTTTTTCTGTGTAGAGTGACTTAAGGATACAATTTTTTTTCTTTTCATATGTATAACAATTTTTCCCAACTTCATTTACTGAATAGTCACAAATCTTTCCCCACCAATCTATTACCTTTGTCATATACCAAAGTTTCATACATCTATTATTATTATTATTATTATTATTGAGACAGGATCTCATTTTGTTGCCCAGGCTGGGGTATGGTGGCACAATCATGGTTCACTGCAGCCTCAAACTTCTAGGCTTAAGTGATCCTCCAGCCTCAGCCTCCTGAGTAGGTGGGACTAAAGGCATGTGCTACAACACCTGGCTAACTAAAAAAAAAAAAAAAAAAATTGCAGAGATGGGCATCTTGCTATGTTGCCCAGGCTGATCTTTGATTCCAGGTCTCAGGCGATCTTTCTGTACCAGCCTCCCGAAGTGCAAGGATTAACAGGCATAAGCCACTGTACCTGGCTGTCTTTGAAGTTTTTAATAAGATCGCCATCTCTCTCTCAAGACTGATCAAGAAAAAATGCAAATACAAATTTAAAGAGAGGGAAAAATAGTATTATGGAACTGGATTAAGTATCTTAAGGGAAAACTACAATAATGAGACCACTATTCTTATCTACTGGGGTGGGCGAAGGCACGGACAGAGATGTAAACAACAATATAATGTGGCAAGGGCTCCCATCTCCTGTTCTCTTCTGCTCTGCAAAGTTTCTCTTGAAATATAGAGAACATATTGCAAGTAAATATATTCATTTGTGCATTTATTCAAAAACCACATTTGTCTCTCTATGCAAGCTTCCATCTCAATGCCTGGCACAGAGACGAAAAAGATTTCAGAAGACAAAAATCAAAGGACTGGAAAAGAGGGAAGCAGTTGATGACAAGGTCAGGGGAGAAGCAGCTATTTGAGAGTGAGCAGAGGGAAGGATATAACCAGAGCCTTCCATCTGGTGTTGTGACAAAGATGGCAGTGATGTGAGGCTTGATAGAATTAATAGGCCTCACAGTTCAAGACAGACTACATGCCCTCAGTCACTTGCCTGCTTTCTTGATTTGTCAGATGGATTAGAAATCCTAGAAGGAAATTTGAGTGGGTACTGGGATATTCTACCCAAATCCTCTCTTCTGGGGCAATGCAGCTGCCTCACAGCTCTCTTCCTCACTGGACGTTACCTTCAGCTTCAGGAAAGTGCTTCACCCATGGTCAGGGAGCAGCATGCCAAGAACTGGCTGATGTGGGAGCACAAAGGCAGAGCTTACTAGCTTGTTTGGGACAACTATGATGTTTATCCTAATTCCAGAGCTCCCTGTTGGAACAGCTGAGGCCTCAGTTGCAACCACGTTGTGAATCACCTGACCCCACCTTTCTCAGCTTTCTGGAGGTGCATTCTAAGAGCGCTCCCCATAAACCAACACTCAAGTCTCTCGGAGGTGTGTTTCCAGGGAGCCTAATCTAAGACTAAAAACTTAAAGGTCCCTTTTAGCATTCTCCCTTAGAGCCCAGGCAAAGAGTTCTTTACTTTTTTAGAGGTCATGAATCCCTTTGACAGGGTGATGAAAGCCAGGGACCCTCCTCTCAGAAAAATACACATGTGCACTTAACGTAAAATTTTACGTACTGTTTTAAAGGTTAAACTTTACCACCCATGAAAAGCCTCAAGTAGCTCTTTGTACATAATCATAAGATTAGCAATCATTTACTGAGCACTTCCTCTCTATAAGACCCTGTGCTAAGTGTTTTAACTTCATAATGCCTTTGATCATGACATAACACGGCAGGGTAGTTCCTAATATCTTCCTTTTAGAGATTTAAGGGCTTGCTCAAAGTAACACAGCTAATAATTAGCAGACACTGGATTAAAATCCCAATTTGTTTGTAAAGCTTGTGCTCTGAATAAATGACAAGGAAAGAGAAGGGAAGGTTAAAGAAGGGAAGGTCCTCGAAGGTCCCTTAACCGTAAATGTCAAGAGTTGAGATTTAAACACAGGTCTAACGACAGAGCTGGAGCCCTTTAGATTAAACATGTAGCTTCCATGAAAACGAAGGAAGTTGACTTTGTCCCACCTCTGCCCTTTGCGGCTTGTCATTTGCGTTTGTTTCTACAGCGATTCCCAATAGATTTCTGCGTGGCCTTGATAGAGACAGCCAGTTTGCATCCCCGCCCAAATTGGGGCGGCAAGTTGCTTGCCGTACAACGTGGCGGTTCCCTGCATCTCCGCCCACGTCGGAAAGGTGCGTCGGCTTCCGTACAACACGGATACGCACTCTCCGCCGTGCCGCTGGTTCTGACGCAACTTCCTGTCCTGCGCAATTCTATTTGACCTTTGAACTCGCAAAGGCATTTTTCTTCCTCTTCCGGGGACGTTGTCTGCAGGTATGGCTGTTGTTGTATTTTCCCTGTCTTTATTTCCTTCACAATCGGCTGCCATCCGAGGAGCTGAGGAAGCCTAGCGCTCTCAGGAGCATTCATTTGAGCTGGCGTAGGGGTAAGGGGCACAACAGGGAGGTTGGTGGTGAGGAAGTTCCTTTCTTTGATCTTCGGAAATCCCTTGTTCTTGGTGGCCCCTCCAAAGCCGCGAGTAGCCAGAGCTCACCACCCGGGAGTTTGCTCCTTTCCAAGTGCAGCGTTTGGAGACAAACGAGTTGTGGTTTGGCGGTCTGAGACTGGGAAATCGCCGAACGTTTTCAGATTTTGCACCCACGTTTCCACAGCACGCCTGTACACGTCCTTAGTCTTTGGGAGGGCGGGGACTGGCAAGTTCGGGTGGTGGTTTCGCTATTTGCCTTCTGTTTCCAAGGCCCATGTCTAGGAAGAGAAAAATGTGTTAGTGAGAGAGAAGTTTCTGTCTTGCTTTTGGAGATGCAAACAGAATAGTGGCTTTGTAAATCACTCGCACTGACTTTACGTGTCAAGTTTTGGTGTCTGGTAGTTCTGTTTGAGTTTAATTTTATAATGAGAGGCTTGTGACAACAAATGCAGGCTCTTTTAAATAACAAAATAATGTTATGAAGTGGTTACAAGGTGCGGAATGGGAAGACAATTAGTTCAAATGTTGATTATGTTTTACTTTGGGTAGTTCACTTAACGAAGTTGCTCATATGCATATCTGTATAACCGCTTTGCTAAATAACATCAAGTTGCCAGAAGTGGGAAGAAAGCAGGTGTCATAACCCAAGGAAACTTGTGTAATACCAAAATTAGTATTAAAGGGTATGCCTTTATGCAAGTGGTGCTTTAGGGCGAGACATTGAACCCTGATACATGTTCCAGGCATTGTGTTGGGAGGGATAGCTCTCGTCGTTTAATCCTAATGACAGCTGTATAAAGTAGGCAGAATTCCCATTTTAGAGAGAAGGAGGCTAGCTCCTTGCCCTGTGTATTCCCAATAAATGGCATAGTTAAGGATTGGACTTCAGAGCTCACTTCTGCTCTTTGTTGAAAGCAGTGTTTCTCCAACTTGTCTCGTAGCCCTTTTCTGGACACCACTCCAAACAAAATCAGACTCTGAGTAAGGAGCCTGGTCATCACAATGTTAAGGAAGTACCACATTTGATTACCATCAGGAAAGCTAACATTCTTGGCCTCTTGTTTATCAGTCACCTTTAAATACAAGTAGTTTTGAAAGGTGGAAATGTTCCATAAATAATACATCTTAATTTAAGGGTGTTACATACAAGGATTTGTACGTGAATGAAATAGACCACATAATGCTGTTTTGAGATTTTATCTACTATTACAATGGAAAGACTTGATATTACTCTGTTCTTAATATAGGCACTCAGAATGGTCCAACGTTTGACATACCGACGTAGGCTTTCCTACAATACAGCCTCTAACAAAACTAGGCTGTAAGTATTTCTAAAAATTTTAAGTATATATTATCATTTACTCTACAAAATGCTAACCTATTGACTGTTTCACTTTCTAGGTCCCGAACCCCTGGTAATAGAATTGTTTACCTTTATACCAAGAAGGTTGGGAAAGCACCAAAATCTGCATGTGGTGTGTGCCCAGGCAGACTTCGAGGGGTAAGTGTACCTTTTACTTTGAGCAACCTAACAAGTCTTGAACTTGTTGAGCTTTCATCCCTTCATGATGGAATGAATCAAGGAGAGGTTACCACTAAGAGGGTTGAGAATTACTAATCATCCATGAGCCAAATCTGCCAAGAACGTAGACTTTTTAAACCAATCTGAGAAATGGAAATGCGGTAAAATGCCTTTCAGATAAATCAGTATACTATTTCCCTTTGTAACCTACTTTAAACTTGCCCTTAACACTTAACAAAATTTAGGGAAATTTCTGTTAAAGCATCACAAAATAATCTTAATGTTTTTCTTATGCAGGTTCGTGCTGTAAGACCTAAAGTTCTTATGAGATTGTCCAAAACAAAGAAACATGTCAGCAGGGCCTATGGTGGTTCCATGTGTGCTAAATGTGTTCGTGACAGGTAAGTTAAATGCTTAAATGGGCTTTCTTTAGCAGATTCTTGTGTGTGTATGTTACACTGTGTGCTAATCAGTACAATGGTGAAACAACTCATTTTAAACCAGTTGCATTCTTGAGAATCCTTCCTTCACTATGGATAATTGATGCTGCACAAAGCAAGAAATGATATTCAGAGTAACAATTTGGGGACATATTTATGCTAGATGTGGCGATTAAAAGGAACTTGGTTTTGTTCAGGAGGTGGGTAAGAAAGTCTCTTAGTGGTTTGGACAAACATAGATGGAGTGTGGAAGGTGTTAAAAGTGTAGGAACAGAAGAGCTGTGTGTTCTCATGTGCGTGGAGCATAGGGTTTCAGGAGATGATGGACAACAAAGATAGAAAAGCCAGATTATGGCCAGGTGCAGTGGTTTACGCCTGTAATCCCGACACTTTGGGAGGCGGAGGCAGGCAGATCTCCTGAGATTGCGAGTTTGAGACCAGCCTGACCAACATGGAGAAACCTCGTCTCTACTAAAAATACGAAACGGCATAGTGGCGCATGCCTGTGATCCCAGCTACTCAGGCTGAGGCAGGAGAATTACTGGAAGCTGGGAGGCACAGGTTGTGGTGAGCTGAGATTGCGCCATTGCACTCCAGCCTGGGCAACAAGGGCGAAACTCTGTCTCAAAAAAAAGAAAAGAAAAGCCAGATTATGAGGGATTTTGCAGAATAAAAGGTAGATTAGCTTTATTTATTTATTGAGAGACAGAGTCTTGCTCTGTAGCCCAGCCTGGAGTGCAGAAAGGGCATTCCAGGCAAGGAAAGTACAGACTGATCTGGCACATTGTGGGTGAAAATGGAAATGTACATTGGATTTAAGTCATGAATTTTAAGCTGAGGAAGTTTGGCTTTTTTCCCCCAGCCTTTGGTTCTAAAACTTTGCTGATCAGATGGGCACATTTATTAAAATCAGATTGGCACATTTATTAAAAATTTATTAAAAATACAAATTCTCAGCCTTATCTCCTGAAGATTTGAACTTAGGTTTACAGGATAGCCTAGAAGTTAGCATTGTTAGCTGTGATGCTGAGCAGGTCTGCATGTGTTCTGTGCTTTAAGTAAGTTAAGGGAATTTTTAAGTGACATCAGTTATATGTGTCTCTGATAGGATCACTTGGGGGAGATTTGAAGAAATTAGAAAACCCAGAGTTTTGAGGCTAGGTTATTTGATAACCAGGGTTACCAATGGGAAATGGGGTTGGGGAAGGTTTAAGTTGAAGCAGGAGGAGTGCTTTACCTCTCTTGGTAACTGATTGAACAAATGCTAGGAAGACCTGCTTTTTGCTAGGTCCTGTACAACACTGTAATGATAGTGATCCGTAAAATGCACTCCCAGATGGAGGTTCAAAGACGAGAAAATCTTTCCAAATTTAATCTTCATAAACTGCCTGTTAAATAGGTGTGAAACTATTTTGTACCTTAATATAGAGAAGGTAACTTGTCCAGTGTGCAGCTAGTGTATGGTGGAAGTGGCCGTAAACAGGCTCTAAAATCCTAGCTTTTGGTGAGGTGTCTCTTGCTAATATCCCTTTACCTTTTAATTTAGTTTTTAGCACATAGCCCCTTCTGTGTTGTTTTTTACTGGGAATTTTCATAAATATGGTTAAAATATTCTAAGACGTTTTGCAAATCAAGAAATACCACTATTCCTGGATCCTAACAATAAATTAGAACTCTCATAAGTGGTCTCCTGTGGGGATGACTTTATAGTTTATCTTGACTGAGAAGAACAGATAACTACTGGCATGAAATTGAAGGATTATCCTGCTTTAAATGAATTTTAGCTTTTAAGTTTTACTCTGTATTTGTGGGCTTCCTGTAGTTTCCTGGGTTCCCTGATTGCTTTGCTTAGTTGTTTTACCATGTTTGCCTTCTCTATGCTAAATAAAAAATGAAGTTCATTTTAAAGAAACGATTAATTTGGTATTTTCCTTTCTAGGATCAAGCGTGCTTTCCTTATCGAGGAGCAGAAAATCGTTGTGAAAGTGTTGAAGGCACAAGCACAGAGTCAAAAAGCTAAATAAAAAAATGAAACTTTTTTGAGTAATAAAAATGAAAAGACTTGCTGTATGTATGATTTTTTTCTTTTTCTGTTATAATGTGTTAGTATACAAATTTTGCTTCTGTATGGTATTTGGAGACCCTGTAATTTTTAGATTACTTTTTCTTGGTTTTTTTTGTTTGTTTGGTTTGGTTTGGTTTGGTTTGGTTTTTTTGAGACAGAGTTTCTCTTGTTGCGTAGGCTGGAGTACAGTGGCACGATCTCGGCTCACCACAGCTGCTGCCTTCTGGGTTCAAGTGATTCTCCTGCCTCAGCCTCCCAAGTAGCTGGGATTACAGGCATGCGCCACCATGCCCAGCTAATTTTGTATTTTTTAGTAGAGACGAGGTTTCTCCATGTTGGTCACGCTGGTCTCAAACTCCTGACTTCAGATGATCCACTCACCTCGGCCTCCCAAAGTGCTGGTAATAAGGTGCGAGCCACCACACCCAGCCAGTGGGTTACTTTTTCTGAAGAAACAATTGGTGGTCACTGATTGCTGGAATTTTTTTGGTGACAGCTCTACCGCTGCATTGGAGCATAATGTCCTTCCCTTTGTGGGCTAAGACTTAGGGGTGGTTTGGGAGGAATGACCCTTCTATTTGAACCTTTAATATCCTTTTGATCTTTATTATAGTATCTCCTTTACATCAGCAAGTTTCACGGCATAGAAACCTGGGTATTCTAGTTCCTTGGAATGGAACCTTTTTAAGATTGTTTTTAAACCCTCTGTTCTTTTAGGTCACTTCAGTTCAAAAATGGTATCTTGGAGAGCTCAGAACTCCTTATTTAACAAATGAGTGAGCTACTGTATATAAAACCTTGGGTCAAGGGTATAGTTTCTGATCTACATTGGATTTATTATCCAGACCAGAATATTAAAATTCAGACCTCATTTTTCTTGGGAACTATGTAGTGTTTTTGCCAGCTCAGACAACGTTTCACTCCTGCTGCCCAGCCTGGTGTGCAATCGTGACTTGCTGCAACCTCCACCTCCCGGGCTCCAGTGATTCTCTGTCCCAGCCTCCCAAGTAGCTGGGACTGCAGGTGGGCACCACCATGCCTGGCTCATCTATGGTTTTTTTTAGAAACAGTTTTACTGTGTTCCTAGGCTGGTCTCAAAACTACTGGGCTCAAGCAATCTGCCTGCCTTGGCCTCCCAAAGTGCCAGGATTACAGGCATGAGCCACTCTGCCCAACTTGTTGGCTGGCAACTTTTTTTTTTTTTTTAAGTGGAGCCTCGCTCTTGCCCAGACTCGATCTCGGCTCACTGCAACCTCCACCTCCTGGGTTCAAGCAATTCTGCCTCAGCCTCCAGAGGTTTACAGGTACCCACCACCACACCCAGCTAGTTTTTGTATTTTTAGTACAGATGGGGTTTTGCCATATTGGCCAGGCTCGTCTTGAACTGACCTCGAGTGATCTGTCCTCCTCGGCCTCCCAAAGTGCGGAGATTGCAGGTGTGAGCCCCTGCACACGGCCAGGACCATCTCTTAAAGCCATAACAAGCTTATTCCAATCTCTTGAGTAGAGAGCAGAGACCTTGAACCATCAGGGAATGCAGAAGCTGAAGTACCTGGGGAGTACAGTAAATTTTGACTATTTTCCTCAGTTGAGGAAAATGTATCTACTAACTGGCATGATGTAACTACTTAGCAGAGGAGAGTTACCTCTTATAAATAACGCTTTTCTGGCTGGACGCCATGGCTTACGCCTGTAATCCCAGTACTTCAGGAGGCCAAGGCAGGCGGATCATGAGGTCAGGAGATTGAGACCATGCTGGCTAGTACGGTGAAACCCGTCTATACTAAAAATACAAAAAATTAGCTGGGCGTGGTGGTACACATCTGTAATCCCAGCTACTCGGGAGGTTGAGGCAAGAGAATTGCTTGAATCTGGGAGGCGGAGGTTGCAGTGAGCCGAGATCGCTCCATTGCACTCGCCTGTGCAACAGAGCGAGACTCGGTCTCAAAAAAACAAAAAACCAAAAAGAACATGCTTTTCTTAGACCAGACTCAGTGTCTCGCGCCTGTAGTCCCATTCCCAACACTTGGGATGCTGAGGTGGGAGGATCACTTAAGGCCAGGAGTTGGAGACCACCCTGGGCAGCTCGCCAAGACCCTGCCTAAAAAATAGGAAAAAAATAAGAATACCTCTTAAGGTAAAAGGCAAGAAAAATAGGACCTCATAACACCTTTACCCCACTGCCAGCGAACTTGTTCTTGGTATATAAAATTTTTAATTAGCATTTTGCAGAAGAAGAGAGGAGTCACAGAACTAGTAAGTGGCAAAGCTGGCGCTTGAACTCACTTTTAAGAATTTCATTTTAACCACAGTACACCTGATTGGCTGTGTGCCTGACTCCACCAAATCTGTTTTAGTCCTCCCAGCAACTGCAACACCTTTATTCCTATTTTACTGATGAGAGAAGAGACAGAGGTTATAGAAAACCCAGAGCCATTTGTACTGTTGGTAGGATTTTTGCAGCTGTGTTGGTGAGTAAGTCTAATGATCGGGCACCCTGATAAATGCCAGCAGAATCAATGATAGCTGGGATTCCTGTTGTCAACATTCATAATCTCAAACGATTGAGATCTGTTAGCTTTCCCCAAACACCTGCCAATCCTAAAGATTGTTAAGCAACCAGCATAGTAGAATTAATTATCTTGTATAATACTTAATCACAATATTGAAAATATTATAAAATGGGGATAGGATTGAAAAGCTTGAATTCTAAGGCAGATTTACATCACTTCCTCATGATTTAGGCTTACATATACTGCACCAAGCAGTTTTGTGATCATGTTTTATTGTGTTTGATGTAACAATCTAAAAAGTGGCACTTTCAATAATGTGCCTTAAAACTTAAATTCAGTTAATTGGCTGCTCTTTAGGCCAGTCTAGTTTTTGAAAGGTTTGAGATGTAATTTCTGAAAAATTGCTGTGGAGGGGAAAGCCTATTTGCCACCCCAGCCTGAGTTCTTGCTGGCGGCGGGAGGCTTCTCCCTCTCCTTGCTGCTGCAAGTTAGGTACAACAACGTGACTGGCTCTAGCTGGTGGGAACTATCAAGTTTCAGCAAAATACGAAATGGGTGAACTTTGAGAAACATAAGGAAGTAAAGGAATTGAGGTGTACATTCTTTTCAAAGAATTCCTTGTATGTTAAATTGTTTTAATTACAAACATCTTTGTAGACTTTTTGGAACGTTTGGAAAAATAGAATGACAAAAAAAATCTCAAGTTCGCTACTTAGTCTTTGTATTGTTTTTTTGGAAACAGAGTCTCACTGTGTCACCCAGGCTGGAGTGCAGTGATGCGATCTCAGCTCACTGCAACCTTTCCCTCCCGGGTTCAAGCCATTCTGCCTCAGCCTCCCGAGTAGCTGGGACTACAGGCGCCTGCCACCACGTCTGGCTAATTTTTGTATTTTTAGTAGAGACAGGGTTTCGCCATGTTGGCCAGGCAAGTCTCGAACTCCTGACCTCAGGAGATCCGCTTGCCTCGGCCTGCTAAAGTGTTGGGATTACAGGCTCGAGCCACCACGCCCAGCCACTATTGTGATAGTTGGATGTTTTTCTTCCCATCTTGTTTTCCAGGAATAAAATAGATATTTTAAGTAAAAACTGGAAGCCCACTGCATATATAAACTTTCAACTCTTTTTTTCCTCCCACATAACCCCTGTGATTATATTTCTTTTCAAAGAATATTTTAGTAGCTGCATGCAGTATCAAATTCACATGCTGTAATTTAGACATTCCCTTTATTTTGAACATTTGGGCTATTTCCAATTTTTCTCTATTTTAAAACATGAGCATTCTTATGTATCTGATTATTTCACTTACACGAATTATTAAAATTCACAAGCTGGTGTTGAAGTTCAGTATTTAGAAGACAAAGAGCATTGATTGGTGTTAACATAGTAACGACTCTGTCCAAGTGACCCAGATGAATTCTGTAACTCTTCTGGGTTTTCATTTTTGTAAAAAGCAAAATGAAACTCTTACTAAATCCAGTTCTAGGTGTGTGACAAAGTATTCTTGGTAGGTTCCTAAAAAGACATGTGAATGTAGTCAGTGGTCTTCTTTTTAAAGTCTAATATTTCTCCTTCCATTGACTTGCTTATAGATTCTGTTACAAGGTTGAAAGGGTTCTTTTACCCTTAAAAACATTAAATCTCCAAATGTTTAAATAAGCAAATCAAGTTTGTTTTAGTAACTTAACAACATCCTATAATCTTTACCCTAATGATTAAGAGCTTGGGCTTCCAGAGTTTTGATAGTTAGGGCTATGTCCAATTTTCACTGTAAACTATGCATCTTCAAACCAACTAAAATCACACAATCCTCACAGAATAAGATTGTGAAGCAGTTCTGAATGTTACGATTTTTGTCTAAAGTAGGTTATTTATTGCTGGTAATAATTATTCTGCCATTATTAGGTCCAATAGTACAAGTTGGTGTGTTGGAGCTACCTCACCTCAGCTTGCGAGAGCCAGTTGTGGGCATCTCTTTCCAGCTTTGCATCCAATGACGTCTGGTTGGCACCTTGAGACTGTTACGGTGAGAGTATTAACACCTCAGCAAATGCTACAAAATCCTGTTTTCCCCCAGAGAGCTGGAGGTTAAATACTACCAGCACATCCCTAGATATTACTCAAGTTATAGTCTGTGATCACAACTACTATAGTATGCTCTTGGTACCAGGAGCTCTGATATATATCTGGTACATGTTTGATAATGACTTGTACTGTACAAATTTTTGTGGTAAGTACTTATTAATACTGTGATTCTGTAAAGAGTTTGGGGTTTGATTTTATAAAATCCAAAACAAGCCTTTGACTGAATCCAGTTCTCTGTGTGACCAGTTCTCCGCATGAATGGAAGGGAAAAGAATTAAAAATCTTGCAAAGGGGAAAGTTTCGTCTTCTTAAAAACTAGATGTGGTAAACAGTATTCTAAACCAGGTGTAGAAAAGCTAACACTATCTGGCTGGACACGGTGGCTCACGCCTGTAATCCTAGCACTTTGGGAGGCCGAGGTGGGCGGATCACGATGTCAGGAGATGGAGACCATCCTGGCAAACACGGTGAAACCCTGTCTCTACTAAAAATACAAAAAATTAGCTGGGTGTGGTGGCGGGCGCCTGTAGTCCCAGCTACCTGGAGGCTGAGGCAGAAGAATGGCGTGAACCTGGGAGGTGGAGCTTGCAGTGAGCCGAGATTGTGCCACTGCATTCCATCCTGGGCTACAGAGCAAGACTCCGTCTCAAAAAAAGAAGTTAACACTGTCTTTATGAATTTCATTTCTGTCTCAGTTCACGCTACTGTAACAAACTACCACACAGACTGAGTGGCTTGAACATTTATTTCTCACTGTTCTGGAAGCTAAGTCCAAGATCAAGGCACTGGCAGATTCCATGTCTCTTCCTGGTTTGCAGATGGCCATCTCTTTGCTGTATCCACACGTGGTGGAGAGATCACCTATCTCATGTCTTTTCTTAGAAGGGCCTCTCATCATCAGGGCTCCATCCTCAAAATCTAATTATAATACCTCCCCAAAGCCTCACCATCCCATTGGGAGTTAGGATTCCAACATATAAATTTTGAGGGGGACACAAACATTCAGTCCCTAACATTTTCTAAATTAAAGGATAAGATCTGCGATAATTCTGAATGAAAAGATGCTTTTTGGGTTTCCAAAATATTAGCTATTCAATAATTTTTAATAAATCTTCTTAAATGTTTCTTAACCTGAAGGATTATGTAAGTGTTTTTGCCAAACATTTACATTCTTTTATAATTGCTTTGGCTTTCATTCATTCACTCGACAAATATTAGAAACTACCCTGTACTAGAAACTGTGCTGCTGGGTAAGTGTTAATACAGTAATCAACAAAGCAGATGAGACTCTTCTCTTGCCTCGTGGCACACAGGAGAGACAATGTTAAATGGGGAACATAAACACATTTGTTGTTGCACACACTAGGATTATAGTCACAAAAAGAAAGTCCACAGTGCTGTGAAACAATATGGAAAGGGAACCTCATGGGGGAGTTAAGGGAGGCTTTTTCTGAGAAAATGATGTTTAAGCTCACAACAAAGATAAGTAGGTGTTGGCTGGGTGACAGAAAGGGAGAACACTCCAGACATAGAAACCAACATGTGCAAATGCCTTAAGTCAAGAAATAGCTTGTACGAAAAACAAAACACAGGCAATCCAATTCACTCTCAATATTTAGAGGCCAATAAACCTGAAATGTGTGAATTAATCGTTAATCACTAAGAAGGAACATCCCTGTCAGCACATAGCTTTCAGTATACCTGTGTGGCCCCAGGGCTACTTTTCCATCCTAAGGGAGACCAGCAAAAGAAAAGCTTTCCTAAACTGTTTTAGTTAGGAGCAAATAAATCCTCCTCTGCATTAGGGGATATTTAAATTATGCAATCCCCTAGATAATTTAGGCACCAACTACCTGCCATTAAGGAGGAAAAGGATCAAATTTGTTGACCAAATTCCCTTGATACTCATTCAGCTTCTATATTCCTTGGCCTGTGCAAATAGCCTAAAGGCTTTACTCTCTCAGCGCTCTCTCATTCTAGGGTTGAAAATAAGCTTACAGCTTGACTTGTCTAAAGAACAAATGGTCTTGAAGAAAATTCACATGTTTATTGCATCTTAGTGTAAGTCATATAAAGATGTCACAGGCCATATGGTCTCTCTGTCACAACTACTCAATTCTGCCATTGTAGAGTGTCAGTAGCCCTAGACAATACATAAACAAATGGTCATGGCTATGTTCCAATAAAGTTCTGTTTACAAAAACTGATGTCAGATTTGGTCCTTAGCTCATAGTTTGGGACCCTGCTCTAGATGACTGCTTCTAGCCACAGCTGCCATCTGATTGTGATTGCATGAGAGACCTTAAGCAAGACCAGCAGAAAACTGCCTTGTTAAGTCTAATCAGCCCAATGAATGGTGGGAAAAAATAAAATGGCTGCTTTATAAATCCCATTCAATTTTGAGGTGATTTGTTAGATAGCAGCATACCACTAAAACAATGGTACAGTGCAATGATCTTTAAATATTTCTTTTTACTTGAGTACTCCTTAACATTTTGGAAAGTTATGTAGACTCTTGCACATTTTCAGATTGTTATCTAAAAGTTTTCACTCAAAATATAAATCCTTGCAAAGGATATAATTTCCAACAGAGTGAAAATTGTAATACTTTTAAAGAGAAGTTTTATCAATTTTTAAGCGTATGAAAAGGCCCATAGTAGCCATTTTTTGAGTTTTTATATATGTATTTATTTATTTTTAACTTTTAAGTTCAGTGGTATATGTGCAGGTTTGTTATATAGGTAAACTTATGTCATGGGAATTTGTTGTATAGATTATTTTATCACGCAGGTATTAAGCCTAGTACCCATTAGTTATTTTTCCTGATTCTCTCCGTCCTCCCACCCTCCACCCTGCGATAGGCCTCAATGTGTGTTGTTCCCCTCTGTGTGTCCATGTGTTCTCATCATTTAACTCCCACTTATAAGTGAGAACATGCAGAATTTGGTTTTCTGTTCCTGCATTAGTTTGCTAAGGATAATGGCCTCCAGCTCCATCCATGTTCCTGCAAAGGACATGATCTTGTTCTTTTTTATGGTATAGTAGCCGTTTTCAAAAAGACAGAAATAAGCTTTTCTGACATTTGGAAGTTTTATATTCTTTCTTTTTCTTTTTTCTTCCATTTTGTTTTGTTTTGTTTTGTTTTTTTAGAGACAGGGTCTTGCTCTGTTGACTGGGCTGGAGTTCACTGGTGCCATCCTAGTTCACTGCAACATCAAACTTTTGGGCTCAAACAATCCTCTGCTTCAGCCTTCCAAGCAGATGGGACTACAGGCATGTACCACCACACCTGGCTAATTTGTAAAATGTTTTTTGTTTTTTTTAAAAAAAAAAGATGGAGTCTTGCTGCATTGCCTGGGCTGGTCTCAAACTCCTGGCCTCAAAGCGATTCTCCTGCCTCAACCTCCCAAAGCGATGGAATTATAGATGTAAGCCACTGTGTCACCCCTTTTTCTTTTTGACATATATATGTATTTTTAGATGGAGTCTTGCTCTGTTGCCCAGGCTGGAGCACAGTGGCGCGATCTCAGCTCACTGCAAGCTCCGCTTCTGGGTTCACACCATTCTCCTGCCTCAGCCTCCCAAATAGCTGGGACTACAGGCGCCCGCCACCGCACCCAGCTAATTTTTTGTATGTTTAGTAGAGACGGAGTTTTACCGTGTTAGCCAGGATGGCCTCGATCTCCTGACCTCATGATCCGCCCGCCTCAGCCTCCCAAAGTGCTGGGATTACAGGCGTGAGCCACTGTGCCCAGCCTTTTTGACATACATTACCATTCCATTTCCTCCATAGAATTTTAAGCTAATATATGTTTATGTTGAAATATTTTCCTGATTGGTAATTCCCACAATTTTCTATCTCTTTTTTTTTTTTTTTTTTTTCTTTTTTGAGACAAAGTCTAGCTCTGTCGCCCAGGCTGGAGTGCAATGGTATAATCTCAGCTCACTGCAACCTCCACCTCCCAGGTTCAAGTGATTCTCCTGCCTCACCCTCCCTAGTAGTTGGGATTACAGGCACTCACCACCACGCCCGGCTAATTTTTGTATTTTTAGTAGAGATGGGGTTTCGCGTGTTGGTCAGGCTGGTCTCGAACCCCTGACCTCAGGTGATCCACCCGCCTTGGCCTCCCAAATTGCTGGGATTACAGGCGTGAGCCACCGCGCCCGGCCCTACAATTCTATCTTTAAGAGAGAACAAGCAAAAGAGAGAGTCATGGAGTCTTGCCACTCCTTTATCCCATGGATAAAATAAGGTGTTGATTGCTGCCTCTTCAACCATGCTCTCTGTGTCATTCTCAAGGGATTCCCTCAGGAAAATTCATTTTTTTGACAATGTGGGGCAGATGAAAGAGGATAAGGTTGCTAAATGAAAATCATCATCATTCTTCCTCACCCCATTCAATATTATCTCTGAGTTCACGTCATCCCCTAGTGACAGCCAGGATATCCTGCTCCAATGCCTAACGTTTCCCTTATATGTAAGATGGGAAAGACACCAAGCCCCTGATTTGTAAAATTTCTTCACAATCAGTCAAGTTTTATTTACAATTCGTTGACTGTACAAAGTGCTAATGTAGGCACTAAGATGAACAAAATAGACAAAAATCCCCGCCTTACTGGAGGTTACCTTCCAGTGAGGGCTGACAGACAATAAATGAATGAAGGAATAAGTAATATGTCAGTAGGTAAGTAAGTAAAAAACATGATATGAACAATAAATGCTATACAAAATAGAAAGCAGGTAAAAGGGATAGAATGCAGGGCGAAAGTAGGGGGTTGCAGTTTGAATACGCTGGTGAGGGGAGGCTTCCCTAAGAAGGGGACATTGAAGCAAAGACCTGAAGGCAGTGAGGAGGGTGGCCATGAGGATATGTGGGAAAGAGCTTTCCAACAGAGAATAGTCTGGAGGCAGGAGGAGGTCCTGAAGCTGAGGGAAAGCGCGACAGAAATGAGGTTAGGGAGTTCTCCAGGCGCCAGGTTGTCTGGGTCCTTACCATTCATCTCTAGGATCAGTGCGGCCCTCAGACAAGGGGCCTCTCCTCTGGGCCCCGTGCTTTAGAGGTTGCTGCTCTGGCTTTCTCCTGCCAATATCCCACCCCAAAAGCAAATAATTCAGTGGACCAATGGGCACGCTAACCCTAAATGTGTGCTCCCCTTCTGGACATAATCCTGGAACCCCTGCCCAAGACACCCAAACCCACGCACATGCTCGTTTCATGTGAGTCAACGTGTTCCCTCCTTAAGGAGTGTTTATATTTTTAGTTTTGTAATTGCTGATGGTGGGTTGAAAGAC